GGACCCTCTCTGGCCAATGGATACTGCCTGTCCAATTTGATTGTCTTATGCCACCCTAGGATCTGCTTGGAGATTGCCTCCACCAGGCCTTCCTACGGATGGCAGAAATCGTCAAAAGGGATATAATTGACTAGGAGAGTCAATCCACAGGAGGGTTAACTTCCCCTCACATTGCGGGCAAATGAACTCTGCGGTAGCTAAAACCTCCCTAGTCAATTATTCTCCCTATTCGGCAAAATTTTACTGTTTTTTTTTTCAACTAAGATATACCAACGGCCAGGTATTACAAAAAGGGATATTACATATAATTCTAGCCAATAGATGAATAAATAGATAATTTCTATGCCATTCAAGCTGTGGAGGTACTACGCTGCGGAAGGATACGCCAAAGACATCCACAGCATCCAGGTAAACGGGTTCTCCCCCGGCCTGATCGCAGACTACACCGTCAACCTCCGCGACGACTCTGACGTCACAGGTCTGCAGCTGCAGGATGCGCTGTGGAGTGCACAGAAACATGGCGACTCTCTGGGGCTGGAGCTGGGAACTACGTGAGCTTTTTTTCCTAGCCTTTTCCTTCCTTTTTTTAATCAAAAGTTTCATGTTTGCCGTAGGAAACAATGTATAGAAAGACTATACAGCCAGCAGTACAAGCTGATAATTGTTACAAGTGAATAATGTAAGAACTGAATTCCTCCCTTTTTGCAATCAAAAGTTTCATGTTGAATTTGCAGTTTCATGCCCTAGGGCTAATTGCAACAGGAAACAATGTATATGAAGAATATACCGACAGCAGTGCAAGCTAATAATTGTTACAGGTGAATAATGTAAGAACTGAATACAGTGTAAGTTACAATCAATCACATACAATGAATTCAGGTTAAAATGTATAATCTGTTCTTAACATGAAGTTTTTCCTATTTGGGATAAATCCATGATAATGTCTACATTTTAAGTTAATTTTGTAAACTTCTATATCTTTAAATACCCTGTTTTCAGCTGCTGGTTGGATGAACCAGCTGAAGAGAACGGCAGACCACCATGTCGAATAACCAGAACCAGTACACCAGTAGGTAAGTAAAAAGTCACTTGTGTCTTTATAGTGTATAATATTACTGGCTATAGTAGAGATCTCGGTCGGAGTTTCTGTTGAAAAAGACTCCCATCGGGATATCTACCGCGTTAGATTCCCCCTGTCTCTACCGATACATTTCTCGAATGATGGTGAAGCGAGAATTATAGTACATGTAGTTATATATCTATAGGGTAGCACGCATGCTTGTTTTCTACATACAGGCTAGCTGGTGGCAAAAAGGTTTGGTCTTTTAATGTATTGTTTGTGTTACTATAGTCATTGTACCACACAATACTAAAGGCATTCCAATGCGAAATTCCCTGGGCGCTTTTCAATCTCCCTAATAAATTTTGCATGGCCCTCTTTATTCTCACTTTGCCACGTGTAAAATCATACTTCCTTTGATGGCAGCGTCTTTATTTGGGTTACTGTTGATCGTATGGGTACATTGAAAATGTACTGAAACGTATATTTTTGTATCACGCGCATTATATATAGTGGAAGCTTTAGGTATTTGTTGTGCAAAGCGATGGTACATGGATAGCTTATCCGTATGTGTTTAGCCGGTATAACCTTCAGCGCAACACACCAGCTTTGCAGGCACGGAGCAGGTTATATTATACGCTGAACGAATTGTCACGCCAAGCCTTTGCACATCTACGTGTGTGACAGCAACGCTGTTTAAAGCTACGAGTATCTAGTGCGGATACCTCTGCTGTTAGCCTCTACTTGGCATGTCATAGCTTGCTTTCCTTAGAAACCCGTGACATTGTACTAGATACATGACTGTGAATGTTTGTGTGCTGTTTTAGCGGCCAAACCCCAGGACGTCGGCTGGATACTGTGGCCCGTGGTGGTGGCCCTCTTGGCTTCCGCCGCCCTCATTCCTCTGGCCGCCCAGCTACCTAAAGCCTGCGCCGGAGCGCATCTCCCCAGCCGTGGAGCGTAAGTAAACTTCCTTTTACGACATTGAATAGCATTTCTTTATCAACAACCACCTATTTAACAAGATCTGATGTTTCGATGACCGTCTGTCATCTTCATCGGGGCAGTTCTGTGCACTGAAGTTACATGTAGATGTTACTGGTTCACTGAAGCTAGGTATAAAACTAGACCAATTTATACTGTAAAATTGTGAAATTGACGCAGGTTCAGCCAGACTTTCTCTCTAAACCTTCATACCATATCAACAGATATGCTCCGAAGGATCAGCTGTACATCCCGAAAGACAAGATGTACCGCGGGTTTGACGGCGGGAAGGGCGGCGTGCAGGTGCGGCGGTACCTGCCGGGCCGGGAGGCGGGGCTGCACTCCGAGGCGCTGGGACGGTTCGACAAGGTACTGAGTAGCTAATCTCCAAGCAGATCTTTTGGTAGGGGTAAGACAGTATCAAATTGGCCAGTATGTAACCATTTCCCCACCAACGACCCCATTTGATACTGTCTCCCCCCCCCCCACATTTTTTAAAAATCTGCTTGGAGATTACTAACCTGCTGCAAGGGATGGGGAAGGGGGGGCTGCATCCCGAGGCGCTGGAACGGTTCGACAAGGTAACCTGCTGCAAGGGATGTCGGGAAGAAAGGGGAGGGGGTGGGGCTGTCACATTACCGTTGTATACTTGAATTGATGAAAAAAAATTATATTCATACATTTAATATATGCTTAAAGTTAGAAAGGACACCATTAATGGGCAGGTAAGGTTATCTATTTAGTTAACCCAAGGCCTCCTTGGGTATCTAAATCCATATGAACGCTTTGTAACGTATACGTCATCTCTTTGTTTACCCCAGATAAAACCACAGCCGCAGCCACCTCGCCATTCCTACAACCCTCTCAACTTCAGGACAGAACCACCAGCACCTCGGCACACCTACAACCCCAAGCCCTCGGCACCTCCGAGGCCCCCACCCCCGGCCCCTAGACCCACGGCGCCCCCTCCACCGAAAGCTCCCATCGTACCTAAACCGGCACCTGCCGCCCCTGCCCCGAAGCCACACACGTACAACCCGGTACCAAAACCGAAACCGCCGCCGCGTCGACCCAAACCACCACCCCGGCGGCCCAAAGCTCCACCACGACGACCCAAACCCCCTCCACGCCGACCCAAACCCCCTCCGCGACGACTTAAACCCCTTCCGAAAGCTCCTCTAAGAAGGATACGCCCACGAACATACAACCCCAGACCTTACCCACAACAGCAACAAGCTCCAAAGCCACCTCCAAGAACCAAAGTCAAGGTCAAAATCATCCCGATGCCTGAACCCGTTCCACCGCCTCTGACTGAAACCGTGGTCCACATCGTGCCTCTCCCTAAACCTCCCCCAGCTATTAACACATACAACCCTGTCCAGTACGAGGCACCAAAGCCTATACCGAACGGTAACGTCTCTACCATCGGTGGGTCTCAGAGTCTGCCGCCCCCTCACACGTATAACCCGTTAGGTAACGAGAAAAGGTTGCCGAACTGGCCAGACGGGGCTCCTCTGGTGAACGGCAGGCCCCGCTCCGCGCCACACACGTACAACCCGATGCCAAACGGTTTCGTACCGAGGTCCTTGCGTGGTAGTCTCTCACTCGATCTCTGAGAATACGCATGTTTGTAGCTCTTTTTTATTCATTTCATTCATTTATTTATTTATACAGGTTAGCATATCGCCATTTCGGCGCTTTTCAAAGCTCCCTGTGACACACATAACATAATAAAAGGTAACTTAAGTACAATCAAAGGGTAATGATAAAAGAAACGGAACAGACTAATAAAGTACATAAAGTACATTTTATCCCCAGACAAGGCGAGCTCTTCGCAACATCACCCAAGCAGGCATACATGAATATGCGTGTGGTTTGTGTATTAAGTAAAGGTACGGATTACCGGGTTGAACATTGTAAATAGTGTTTATAAAAGATCAAAGTGTCATAAATATCATAATGAATGAAGTTCTTCTTTCGTAAAAAAATGTGTGAAGTTGTAAATAAATAAGATTTTCATGAAGAATGTACATGTACATATTGTGTGTTCCCCGCAGTAGATTCAATTTATTTGAGTACGAAATGATAGTTGATTGGACCTAGATAGTGCCTGCTTCATTGATGCTATCCATAATTTCGTTCTCCAGGCAAATATCGTTTGAATGGTTGATGAAGAATTTTATTGGGATAATAAGTAAAAAGAAGTATAGGGCATTTAGTCGTGGAGCTGTTAGCGCTATACATATGGTTAAATTATTTCAAATCATTTGAGGTATCATCTAGGCGGGATCATACTTGAAAATGTTAATTGCCAATCAATGAATGCCGGGGTTGATTGAATAAAACAATATCTAAACAAATGTGTACGGATTTGTTCCCTTGTATTTTAATTGTTAGATATTACATTTTAATATCTCCTTGAAGATATTTATGACTTCATTGTACCAACCTAGTGTTAATCCTGTTCAACTTGATTTAAGCATTTCTTCATTATTAAGTCTTATTTCCTAGAGATTCCTTTAGTTCCCAATGTTAATAAGCCATGTTTTTTAAGCTGAATAATAGTTTAAATTGTACGCTTATATAATAATATTAACTACTAGACTCGTACAATAACCTAGTACAAACTGTGGGGTCGTGTGGCGTAGCGGCAGAGTGCGCAGAGTGCGGAACTTAGAGTCCCGGGTTCGAGTCCTGACATGCCACCGATCTTGTGCCCTTGGGAAAGGCACTTTACACGGCTTTCCTCACTTAGCTCAGGTGTAAATGAGTATTGTCCTGTAATGTATTTGTACCCTGTGTTGGTGGCGGCATTAAAAAAAGTTGAAAAAAACTTGAGTGTGTCGTCACCACGTCTGGTGATTGATTACATGTTGGAATAAAAAAAAACTCATGCAGGCATAAAACCAGACAGGCGCGGTTATGGACACGATAGTCTCCGCAGGTCTCGATTTTATCACCGGTTGAACGTCATCATACGTTTGTAGTTCAAATTCCGCGGACGCTCAAAAGCGGCCGGTTTCATGGCATACGAAACCGCGGGAACCGTCCTCGGCGCTCGGCCACTAAGAAGGAAAGACAAAAAAAGCACAGCATTAATTTGAATGATACGTCGATGAAGGCTAGACATCTAGGTTAATGAGAATGAGATACATAAGAAAATAGTTACTCAAGTATCTGGATAAATTTTGAAAACGTAACTTAGTTATTTTTACATATCAAAAAGTCTTCATCCATGCATGCATGCATTCGTCCATTCATCTAGTATATACAAGAGGATATGACGCTGTCTTGCTGGCCACTGTCAAATTGTATTAAGAACCGTGCCTATCTGCCATACATTGTACCAGCTACAGTTGTTGAGCAATAAAGTTGATTTGATTTGATTTTATCTGGCTCTATACTTGCGTGGGTAAGTGTTGGGATCAGGCACGATTCTACATGGCCTGCGCCTAGTAATATTCCAAAATACAGTAATTCCAAAACGTAGATTTGACACAGGCACAGAACCATGTCTAGATAGAACATGCCCACCTCTCCAGCTGAACGTCCTTCCCCTCCGTCCTCTGTCCGTATCTCCTCGCCATATATCGCACGTTGTATTCCTTCTTCATATCATGAGATCTCTTGATCAAGGAGCCCAGGATGATCAACAAGATGATGGCAAGAAGCGGCAGGCTGATTCCGAGCCCGATGACCAGGTTTTGATCCACGCCAGCTGTTTCACCACAGGCTAAGTCCTCGTTGGACTTGGTACATCTGTAAAGATCAGTTGAAATAAGTCTTAGGATGGTTGGTTGTAGCCACTTAAACAAATTAACATATTAACATATTAACGTTAACTGGCAAGCAGCAGCCCTTTCCAGTAGCGTGCATGTGGGAAGGTCCAGAGACAGTAGCCTGGATACCAGAATAATAACATGCTAGACCCAGAGTTAGCCAGCGTGCCTGAATCAGGGACTGTGTAGGCCCTGTAAACCGTCTTGCACCCAGGCTAAGAGGCAGGGTCACCACTGAACTGTCCACTCCATGTCACTGGAGTTAAATCAAATTTGATCGTGAAAACTTTCAATAAAGAGTAAGCTCATTCAATGGATGAATTGTGCATTTCTGCTATTTTAGTGACTGTTTACTCACAATGAGCTAACATCAATGCCGAAGGTGTTGTTCGGGTCCTTGGAGATCGCCTGCTGCAGAGCGCTGGACACGCCGCTGTCGCTCACCGTGGCGTTACTTTGGAAGTTGGCGTTGTAATTGGCGACAACGCTGCCTTGTCGGAAGTTGAGGATGGTCACACTCAACAGAGAGCTGCCAACAGACGTGGTCGTGAGGTAGACAAAAATCTGGAACAGAAAAGGGTTGATGAAGTTAAGAGAAGACATAAAGACACAGTCGTTATTTTTATCTGGATCGATAGATGTATTTATGTTTCACACAAAAAATCTTGATTTGGATTCTTCACAATATGATTTGTTGACGATTGACTGACTAACCTGTTTGGACACTTTAAAGGAAAGCGACCGAAAGGCCTCAGAGTTCTTGTCCTTTAGATCCTCGGTGAAAGGAACGGAAGTCATCCTCATTTCCAGGTTGACTTTCTTCGAAGCTGAAGCAATAAGAATATCAATCACACATTTATTAATACACCAAGCAAAACCGAGCTATGTCAAAGCACAAGTTGTAGATGCACTCTCCTTACTATTACTAATTCACATATTGTTGCCACGGTAACGGATGACGTACCAAGTGTACAAGTCGTCCCATCTCCGCTGTAACCAGCATTGCAGACGCAACTTTTCCCAGAACCCCCTGCGACACAGGAGGCGTAACGGTGGCACGTCGTGGTGCATGCCGGGAAGACTCCAATGGTAGTTGCTGGCTCGGTGGTAGGTGCGGTTGTAGCAGGCTGTACGGTTGTTCTCGATCGCTGTGTAACCTTGGGCGTTGTGGTTGGAGGCTGTGTAACTATGGGCGTTGTTCTTGGTGGCGGTGTAACCTTGGGCGTTGTACTTGGAGGCTGTGTAAGTATTGGCGTTGTGCTTAGAGGCTGTGTAAGTATGGGCGTTGTACTTGGAGGCTGTGTAAGTATGGGCGTTGTACTTGGAGGCGGTGTAAGTATGGGCGTTGTGCTTGGTGGCGGTGTAACCTTGGGCGTTGTACTTGGAGGCTGTGTAAGTATGGGCGTTGTGCTTGGAGGCTGTGTAAGTATGGGCGTTGTGCTTGGAGGCTGTGTTAGTATGGGCGTTGTACTTGGAGGCTGTGTAAGTATGGGCGTTGTACTTGGAGGTGGTGTTAATATGGGCGTTGTTCCTGGAGGCTGTGTCATAGCGGATGTGGCGTTGGTTTGCGGTGCCAACGAAGTTCTGTTGACCATCATCGTGACGTTGTGGCTGAAAGAGGAGGAAACGTAACTTAATATCAGCTGTACAACATACTTATGCATGTTTGAGGATAGACGTATAAAATGGGAGAGGGGTGCGGAAAGAAGATGATACATACCTCTTTGGTGTGACTGTGGTCATGTTCATTGCAGAACTTGCTGTCATGTTCATAGTCATCTGAGTTGCAGTTCCTCCATCCGTCGCATGCAGCGTTGTATCAGTATCGGTAACATCAGTACTGAAACCAGTCGGCAAACCCTCGGTTGCAACCGTTGCAACTTCGGTACCAACGTACAACATCTCGGTTGTACCGGTAGATTCTTCAACGGCTGTGGTTGGCGGAGGCGTTGTTACGTCACTGGACAGTATCTCGGATGTATCAGTTGACAAGGCCTCAGTTGTGGTAGTTCCTTCCGTAAAAGAATCTTCTATTGTAAATTCGGTGCCAACGGAAAACATCTCGGTTGTATCGGTAGATTCTTCAACGGCTGTGGTTGGTGGAGGGGTTGTTACGTCACTGGACAGTACCCCGGATGTACTCCAATCAGTCGACAAGGACTCGGTTGAAGTTCCAACAGTAAAAGAATCTACTATTGTAAATTCGGTGCCAACGAAAAACATCTCGGTTGTATCGGTAGATTCTTGAACGGTTGTGGTTGGTGAACGAGTTGTTACGTCACCGGACAAGGACTCGGTTGTAGTTCCTACCATAAAAGAATCTACTATTGTAAATTCGGTGCCAACGGAAAACATTTCGGTTGTATCGGTAGATTCTTCAACAGCCGTGGTCATGTCCATTGCCATTGTCGTGTTGGTCATAGAGGCGGTTGGGCTGACACCACAGCCACTAACTGGACACCTGTTCACATTTGTAATGAAAGAAATAAAGTCGTCATCAATGTATGCCAAGAAGAGGACTAGCTGAGGCCCACTCCTGCCGAATTCATAATGCAACACCATATGGACGATACGGTTAGAAAAGGTATTGGGAAACTAAAAATATTCGAAACATTACGAAGGTTTCTAAAGCTTAAAAGCAAGGTTAAGAGATTAGGCACAAACAACTTACAAAACAATGGAGCTGGTATCTAGCCCCAGTGGATTCTCAGTGTCATTGGCAACGGCCTGCTTCAATGTGTTCACCACGCTAGCGGCGTCTACCGAGGTGTTCTGTTGGAAGTTGGCGTTCACGGTGGCCACGACACTGCCTGGCCGGAAACTGCTGACCGTGACGCTGAGAAGGCCGCTGGTCGAGCTCGACAGGTACACAAAAATCTGATTGAAAAAGATACAGTATCTTTAGCCCTACTGTCTATTGAGGAAGACCCGAGTGACTGGTTTAAAGCCGTAGGTGAGAGAATTTTGTGTTGGCTCAAAAGTTTTAGATATGTAACTACCAACACAGATGAACTTTCGTGATAGTATATTTAACCCAATGACTTGCCAGACCCTGGCGTATTAAACGTTTATTGTGCAGGGATTTTATTAAAAAAAAAGAAATTTGATTACAAAGAAATGGTTTTTATTGGCCAGGTAAAACATTGAAGAACACAAGTCAAAATTCAAAAGGCAATGTCATTGTAAGAGGACGTTGACAATATCAAAAACATATAGATTCTTAGGCAAAGAAATAAAAAAGCAGTCATGGGTCATTTTTCTATCAGCCTCACCTTGCTGGAGACCGTGCGTGCCAGAGTTCTGAACGCCTGTGAGCTGGAGTCAGCCAGGTCTGCCGTGTAGCTGATGTTCATGGTCATCTCCAGGATTACCTGTACAGCAGCTGTTAGAAACAAAGAATGCCTGTCAAGATCGCCTTCTCCAATAAAACACTGTAATGGCTACAATGAATACTTCATTATGAACTGATATTCAAGATCACTGACGATCATCGAAACGCTGACTCTTGTAAACAAGTGGTTGTAAGTAAAGAACTTTGATATTCACCAACCTGCTGAAATAATTGACGGATTCATTATGAATTGTTGTCAATGAATAGAGCTAGATGTTTCGCATATTATCTCCATACAATGTTTTAACTGGGACACTTAAGAAAGTATGGCCTGAACTCTTACCCAGGGTACAGATGGTGCCGTTCCCTTGATATCCAGAGCTACAGACACACGTGTGACCAGACTGCAGTGTGACACATGTGGCGTACAGGTGACAGGGCGTGGCGCATGACGTACTGGGTGCCGTGACTTGTGAGGGAGTAGTCATCTGAGTTGCAGTTCCTCCATCCGTCGCATGGAGCGTAGTATCAGTATCGGTAATATCAGTACTGAAACCAGTCGAGAAACCCTCAGTTGTAACCGTTGTAACTTCGGTACCAACGTACAACATCTCGGTTGTATCGGTAGATTCTTCAACGGCTGTGGTTGGTGGAGGGGTTGTTACGTCACTGGAAAGTACCCCGGATGTACTCCAACCAGTTGGCAAGGCCTCAGTTGTAGTAGTTCCTTCCGTAAAAGAATCTACTATTGTAAATTCGGTGCCAACGGAAAACATCTCGGTTGTATCGGTAGATTCTTGAACGGCTGTGGTTGGTGGAGGCGTTGTGACATTACTGGAGAGTACCTCGGATGTACCAGTTGACAAGGCCTCGATTGTGGCAGTTCCTTCCGTAAAAGAATCTTCTATTGTAAATTCTGTACCAACGGAAGACGTATCGGTTACAGATTCTTCAACGGCTGTGGTTGGTGGAGGGGTTGTTACGTCACTGGACAGTACCCCGGATGTACTCCAAGCAGTGGAAAGGGCCTCCGGTGTAGTTCCTTGTGTGAAGAGTTGGGTAGAATTTCCAGCTACGTTAGTCACAAGGGTAAAGTGTGCAAAGAGTGTATTTTACACACGAGATTGAATTTGATGGTTACGATGACAAAAATGCTTCGGTAAGGGACGTCCCTCAGAAAGGCCCCGTTAAATAGAGGCCCGTGCTTGGTGAGAGCCACACCCCACGCGCGTTAAAAACTTACCATACTTACAGAAAGGAGTAGTGGTCATTCCCGGTGTGAGTGGCCACACCTGGGGTAGTATATTGAGATCACTTAGCGCCAAACGACAGCCGCTTCAGCCCCACCAATTGTAAACTCCTCACAACTTCAGCCTTTGACTGCAGGAAGAAAGTAGCCAGCCCACCCAATAACATATGGTACAAGTGCCGACAACATTAAGAAATGTGAAGTAAGATTTTTTACAGTCTAGGAAATGTTTTAGAACAAGGGCACAGGAAGCCAAGTACTTAAGTCCTTAAGTCCCATTGGATAGAGTCGCTTTGCCAATGGCTTACTAGTATTAATGCTTCGATACTACGAAGTCCAGGTTTGCAGAAGAAAGTGCTTCGATCCCCGGTTAACTTGTCTGCAGAACGCTTAAGGCGATGTCTCAAAAACGTCCCAACTATCTCAAGGAATGAAGAAATGTAGGGCTGGTCCTAGATACGTTACAACAAGTCCGATTTTTTCAAAATCTCTTATTGTTAGCCCTTATCATAACCAGTCATTACAAAACAAGTTCTATATGATGTATTTAACCAGAATAAGTTAGAATCTTAAACTGGCTTTTCGAATTTTCAAACCATTTCCGTGTGTTCCGGACCACACGTCCACATGCAAACACAAAACATTGAAAATCACAAAGTTTATGAAATAGAAATTACATGAAAATAAAGGGGTTATCTCATTAACACCGATTCTTACGTAATCGGGTCTTGAAATAAGTTATTTTCAGTTCATATCTCGTGTAGGTCCCTCATGTGAAAGTAGGTCACTAACCTAAACCTTGCTGAAAAGACAAACAACAAAATCTAACCTGCTGCGTCTGTAGAGTAGAGTCCTAAAGTCCATTGTATCGTCAACAGAGCCAAAACGCACCACGGATGTACCTTGGAAAACATCCTCCAAGACTAAACCGTTCTCAAGTTGTACAGTGGGGGAATATCATGTTGGGTGTGTCCCTAAGTCAGTGTGCAATTAAGTGAAAGTGGGTTAGTCAGGTCGATGTGACCTATGACCTGTGATTCGTCACGTTTTGTTTCGTCCCGAGGTTAGGTGTCCGATACATCACCATATGAATGAAAACCAAGCAGATGTCAGGAAGGAAAGGCTGGCCGCATGAAACGTAACAAAAAGGACGTAATTCTCTACCGAACGTAACTTCTGATAAGCTATTAGAATATCTCTTCTCCGTTAGAAACAGCTCATGATACATTACAATTGTGTATACATAAGTCCAGTTTTATTTGCACTTAAAGTCACCAAGGGGACCAATTATTATGTTTGCCAAAGGAAAACATATTGTTTTTGCTACGTTTCTTCTTCTTCCGTTCAAAACAATGACCTCTGACATGGTCAATGACCAAACTGTCTCTTACCGTGGTAACTAGTGTTGGGTTACATAATGTTGCAACTTTATAGTGGGAGGGATTTAGACTCCTATCACCATATATGTGATTTATCGTGCTCTGTAAATTGTTTAGACGCGCTGGGCAAATTTCTGGAGAGATCGATGGGGATAAAATTTGATGGCGAAAAAAGATCCTTTTGGATCAGGTAAAACCGGTATTTCCTCCATACGTCTGTGGGGAAAGTTCTTTCAACGTCTGAGTTGAGTGTGCAGCGTTAGCTCAATTAGTGAAAAATAGTTGATTCTAAATCTATCAGAATTGGCAGCACATGTAATAACTAACCATACATTGTCTACACAACTGCACTAACCGTTTGGAATAGTATCATTGATACTTTGACAAAGCATACACCCCTCCCCTTCTATCAACTGAACTTTCCCCGTTGGCAGGTGGAAGAGCAACTTATGTCACAAAGATGGTGGGTCAGAGGGCATGGCTCAAGCGACCATTTCTGAGTACTAGTACTCCTGACAAACACATCTGCATTTAGTGACTCACGTTATACACTTTTGGAATAGCTTCAGTGTAATTTTGGAGGATGCTTTGCAAGAGACAACCGATAAGTTTTCTACTTTTAATGACGATACATTGGATCATAGGAGTTGGTTCTACAAACACAACAGGTCGGTACTTTGTTTTTGTTTTTTGTTCAGACGACACATCATTTGGGATGGTTACTTATACGCGACTTTAAAAGACATCCAATGTAATTTCAGAGCGGCAAACCTGGATTTCCAATGCCAATTTTCTCGTCATTTTGTTAATGTAGTAAGTTGAATTAACACTACACTATAGCATACTGATATCTTTGATGCAAAATGCGATGTTGTTGACAGAAACGGTTGCTTGTTCCGTATCATATCCTGGTTCGAGTTATTTATTGGTGGCACCAAAAACAAAGGGACTTCTCGCGTATCTTGTTTTCGGGTATCTCTAACGTTTCAAGTATAAACTGATGACAAAACTAAAAAATGGCAGTAAATGCCAATTACAGACAAAATTTCCTTATCCAGAATATATATATTTTTTTGCCGCCCTGAAATTGTACTGGGTGTTTTTATACCAAAAAGCTATACCTATTTTAGCATCATAATTAAAGTACGGATCATTTACCATTGGCTTTCTTTGAAAGCTGTGCTGACTTCATGGACAATTTTTATGAATGGAACTGTGGTCTTTTTTAGGGCCATAAGCCCGGTCTACTGATCACCGGGAATTGTTTATAAAGTTGAAATATCCACAACTCAATACACTAGAACATAAATCTTGATAATCTTACCATAGTATACAAAGTGATCATTACAGATAGCAAAGAATTATAAATTAAAGAATGTCCTAGGTTTTTTCATATGGTGGAACTAGCCGAGTTACGTTAAATAAGACGTGCCGCAGGGTCGGTGTAGACAACTCGGTACAAGCGCCGAAAATTCCTGCGCCGTAATTATGACGCTTATCTGTTGTCTTCGCATTCCGTGCTTTTGTGTCAGTTGTGCCATTTTATCTGCTTGATTGTAGGTAGAACAAACTCCAGTTGGTAGTAAGTTCTGAAAAAAAACTATAGGGACTTGATTGAGCTTTTATGATTATATTTTTTATTATGTTGTTTTTCTATTCGTGCTGCACAAGAAAAACACTGGAAATGCTTGTGCCATACTTCTATAAACTGTATCGGTATAGCCTGTATAGCCGGTATAACCACCCTTCAGCATAACACACCAGCTTCGCAGGCACGCGGCGCGGCAGCAGCTGTTAACATCTAACCTTTGAACATCTAACTATAAGCGTCGTTTACAGCCATCTATTTAGTTCTAGGGAAAATGAGTTTTGAGCACATCAATCCTTGGTTGATAACTCTAGTTATTGCTATTAATATTTCTTCTTTTCTGAGTTGGATTTAGTTACTTAGTAGTTGATGCGTCCACCGTACCTAAATGCCTGGCCATTTTTCTTCTGTTTTCCAGCGACACCCAGCGGAAATTCAACGGCAGTGCCAAATGTGACAACACCTCTCCTAGCAGTTTCCAACGTGACTTCAACACAAAACGCGGCCACACTACTGCCAGCCGCTCATAACACAACTGCAACGGGCAACATCACAACTCCCCACCCTCCAAAGTTGAACGCAACATCATTACCACGCATAACGCCGACCGCGGGACCAGTGAACGTCACCTACGTCACGCACAACGTCACCGCGCGACTAGTGAACGTCACCCATGTCACGCACAACGTCACCTACGTCACGCACAACGTCACCACGCGTCACGACGTGGCAGTCCACAGAGACAACGTCACGGGCCCTGCTGTGAACCAGACGAGATTCACGCCCACTGCCAGGAGAGACAACTTCACTGTCGTCCCAACTCCAGGCAGGGTTTTATTTCGTTTCGTTTCAGTACAAGAAAGTAACTAGACACAAGAAATAAACAGTACCTTACCTTATTAGCATTACACAAAGGACAAAGACAATGTTACGCCACATACACACAAAACAACAATAATCACATGATATGTAGAGTGTGCCTAATGTTGTAAATGGCAAATAACAATTACGATATGTGTATCTTGAGTACAAACATGCTGTGTCTGATCTATCTGACTGACATCTGTCAAATGGAGCTGGAAGTGTTTTGTGCCTTCAATATATGTTTGTGTTAATATTAAGATTTAGAATAACATGGTCATCATGATGCATTAACAGGCATGGCTCGCTTCAACATGACCAGAAAACCGCATAACGCCACGCAGGCTCCATACCCACCGCCGATGGTAATGAACCAGACGAGATTCATGCCTACAGCCAGGAGAGACAACTTCACTGTCGTCCCAACTCCAGGCAGGTTTTTATTCCGTTATGACAATTGTTTATTGCAAACTCATGCCCCGGGCTAGGGCTAATTGCAAATACAGAATTCGAAGGAACATTTGATACAAGTACAATTAAGAAAGTAACAAAAAACAAAAACTCCTTTAACCTTATTAGCATTACACAAAGGACAAAGGCAAGGTGACATGCACTCAAGTTACAACTTATTTTGTTGCGCCACATACAAAAAAACAAAACAAAACAAACAACAGTAATTAAGTGATTCTAGTATGTAGAGTGTGCCTAATGTTGTTATTGACAAATAACTAATAACGACATGCATATTTTTAGTACAAACATATCTTTACCTATCTGACGGGCATATACATCAGTCAAATAGAGGTAGAAGCGCTTGATGCCTTCAATATATGTTTGTGTCAATATTAAGTTTTTAACATTGTCATGATGTATTAACAGGTATGGCTCGCTTCAACATGACCAGAAAACCGCATAACGCCACACAGGCTCCATACACACCGCCGATGGTAATGAACATGACAGCCGGCCCGAGTGTGAACCAGACCAGGGTCATGCCAACAAACTCCTGGTAGGTTTTGTCACTACCAGGTGTACTTTATGTGACTTTGACCCGTAGGCAATGGCACATATTAAGATACAAAAATGGTGAAGTTTAGAGTCCACGGTGGATGTTTAGTATCCCCATGTTACGTGTGTGTTGTGTGTGTGTTTGTTTAGATTTTCTTTCATTAAAAGCTTGCTGTCAAATATTCTGAAGCATATAATGGTTACAAGTGGAATTTTTAACTTCATTGCTTACGGTTGTTCGATACCTTCCTTTAGGCATCTTTTCACAATGCCCCCCAATAGAACTTCATTACCACCGCACGCAAACGCAACCGTCGCTGTAACACAACCTCCTACAACAAAGTACAACACCGAGCCAACAACTACCGTTGGTGTCTTCCCGTCATGCAATACGACATGTCACCGTTACGCCTCCTGTGTCGCAGGGGGTTCTGGGAAGAGTTGCGTCTGCAATGCTGGTTACAGCGGAGATGGAACGACTTGCACACTTGGTACGTCATCCGTTACCTTAGCAACAATATGGTAATTAGCAAAATTAAGGACAGGGCAACTATAACTTGTGTGATAACAAAAGCTCACGTTTGCTTTCTATTGATGTTTATTTTATACTTGTTGAAATAGTAGTACAATGTATCATTGATACTTTTTTTATTGCTTCAGCTTCGAAGAAAGTGAACCTGGAGATGAGGATGACTTCCATTCCTTTCACCGAGGATCTAAAGGATAGGAACTCCCAGGCCTTTCGGTCGCTTTCCTTTAAAGTGTCCAAACAGGTTTGTCCATGTCCAAGTTTTTCTGTCTTATACGTAAATTTAACTGTAGGCCCAGATACCACTAAACTACTGTGCCAGTATGTCTCCTCTTAACTTCATCAATCTTTTTTCTGTTCCAGATTTTTGACTACCTCAAGACCACGTCTCTTGGCAGCTCTCTGTTGAGTGTGACCATCCTCAACTTCCGACAAGGCAGTGTTGTCGCCAATTACAACGCCAACTTCCAAAGTAACGCCACGGTGAGCGACAGCGGCGTGTCCAGCGCTCTGCAACAGGCGATCTCCAAGGACCCGAACAACACCTTCGGCATTGATGTCAGCTCACTGTGAGTAAACAGTCACTAAAATAGCAGTAATGTACAATTCTTCTATCGAAAATTCTTACTCTTTTAACGGTACACACACCAATTCTTTCACGACTGTGGTAGTGCCCTAAAATTATCTAAAATAGGTCAAACAAAGTGAAATGTGAACTCGTTGCTCTGCTGTTGCAATGTTCCATCTTTATGTTTACCGAAGGAAAACATTGTTTTGCTACGTTTACTCTTCTTCTTCAAAACAGTGACCTCAATGATCTGAACCAATGTGTCTGTTACAATGGGTAACTAGTGTTGGGTTACATCATGTTGCAATTTTATAGCAGGAGGGATTTAGACTCCTGTCTGACCATATAAATGAATGTGTTTGAGTAAGAAGTTTGAGTTTGAGCAGACCATATGCGAAGGTAAACATTATATATTTGCCTTGCCAATGTTACCTTTCTAGTTAATGGGTAGGTCAAGACATTTTGGCGTTCTTCATTACAGATGCACCAAGACAGATGAAAACGCCGCCTGTGGTGAAACAACAGGCATGAATCAGTATCTACTGATCGGGCTGGGGGCCGGTGTGCCTGTGGTTGCCATCATCATGCTAACTCTCCTGGGCTGCCTGATCAAGAGAGCTCTGAACAGAAAGAAGGGCGATGGAGACAGTGAAGCAGAGAGCTGGAGTGAAGAAGAAAGTGAAGAAGAGATTGAAGAAAAGAAAAAAGACAAGAAAGTCGAGAACGGTGAAAAAGAGAGGGTAGACAAGAAAAATGACAAGAAAGTCGAGAACGGTGGACACGTCAAGAAAGACAAGAACGACAAGAAGACGGTCTCCAAGGACACCAAGAATTCGAAGAAGGAAATAAAGTATGTAGATATCGTACCTAACAGACAGCATTCGCACCGTTAAACATGTGTGCAATTTTCTCATTTCAAGTTTTCTACTGTGTTGCTAAATACCCGTATTTAGATATTGCAATGCGTGGCCGTAGGTTGTTGGGCAAAGAACCCAGAGGTTCTGGGTTCGAATCCTGCCACGTCAACGATCTTATGCCCTTAGAAAAGACACTTCTTAACTCCTCCCAGCCAGGCGCAAAAAATAACACCTGACTTTTAGATATGTTGGGGAGGTAAAAGTCGGTGGAAGGAAAGGGATATGCTCCGCCTTCCAATACTGTGCCCTTGACACACGGTGAACAACCCACTGCCACTACAGCCTCAAAAAAGGCTATTGGATCCCATTTACCTGTTGATGCACAATTATATTCATGAATGATTAACGTTTGATATTTTTTATGTTTTTTTTCTGTCATTTTCCAGTGGAGGACCACAGAAGAAGGTTCCCTCGCCGTCCTACCCGGTGAAGCCGGACCCTGTCGATCCCCAGAGGAACTACAAACGAATGACGTTCCAACCGGCGGTGAAGTCCGGAAGACTAGCGGACAAGTACGAACACGATCTGGGGGGTATATACTTCCCCAGGCGGTACAAAGTGCCGGAAGTTCCCAAACCGTCTTTCCATTACGTTGAGGGTCATGTTCAAGGGAAGCCGGTGACGGTCGTTGTTCCAATCTGACCCCTTGGAGTTTTTTTTAGAATCATTGTCAAGTTCAAAAGAAAGAAAGTCGGAAAAGAAAACGGTATTTGACGGTGATTACGGATATCGGCATGTATGTATATTAATGTCTGTATATATTAATTGGTTGGTTGGTTGTAATTTCTATAGATTGTATGGAAAGATTTTGTTGTAACGCTGTCAAACTCAAAACTACGCCGTACATGAGCGACGCACACTGGACTTGGTTGGTACTGCACAGCAGCTATTGTATGGAAGCATTTGTGATCATGATATGTAACTTTATAGTGTTCTGTGCCTCGATGCAAAGATTTCTCTATCTGTTTATGTGTGTGTGCGTGCGTGCATGTGTGTCTGTATGCGTGCGTGCGCGCGCGCGCGCGTGTCTGTGTGTTTGCGTGTGCCTGTGTGTCGATGTGACCTCAGAGTATCTAGTGTCAGTACAGGTGTGAACTGGACGGACCGGTTATTCAAGATGGCGGCCCCCATGAAGCGTGCTGAGAAAGCCTTGTGATAAAAGCTAGGCGTACTATCCGCTGAAGCTGCTTTTTAAAATCACACAGGGCGATTGTTCAAAGATTCTCTTCTACAAGGCTTAATCTATGTGCTTTATCGCGTGGTCTTACCATACAGTTAGTTCTAGCATATTAACTAACAACAACTGAGCTGTATGAATGTCCAGTGCTCCCTGTATTATGTCACAATCACTTCTCCAATAAAGCTAAAAAGTTTGATATTTTCGTTCTGTGACCGAGCTTTATCTTTTGTCAAGCAATATTGACGTTATCGTTCTTCATAACATTGACGGTAAAATGACACTCATTTACTGCTACAACCCAGTGTGTGCTCTGTTGAACCCGAAATCTTCAAGAGCGTCTAAAACCCTAGGTGCCCTACAAAAAATAAATTTTCTTGGCGTAACTTCTATTTTACATACGACCTTTTGTTTCTATCCTTCCATCATGTACATGTAGTTTACTTATTTGTTTGTTTATTTTATTTGGCTCTCGAGCTAGCTCCATCACCAACTTCCATATAACACTAGTGGCATTTGGATCAGCGCACACCAGGCATGCCCCTACTCTTTTTCGAAAAAAAATGCTTCATAAATCGTGGCATTAGTGGTTTGAATGGAACTGTATATTAAGTCTCTGTCTTGTTTGTGTGTGTAAGTGTGTAGAAGTTAAGGGAAACGCCCAGTGACACTTGTTGGAGAGGACACCCTCCCCACCACCTGTCTGCTAGCTCCTGCCACGCTTCGATAGAACTCCCTGGGGTTTATATAGGGTGCTAAAATTAGACTTCTACGTCACAAGCTTATTATCATATTCAGATGAGGTACTCTAACCTGGTATCATCTAGCCCGGGGGCTAGGATTATATGGTTTGACCCAGTTGACCCCCAGAAGCATAGAAATGTTTCATGGGAGCACCCAGCAAAGCCTAACAGCCGTATCACGGCTGTACATTTGGTTTCTTGCTCTCTGGTCATAATAATATTCGTTCCATGTCCTGCAAATTAACGTTCCATACGATGATCTACCTTGTGATGGGCCTAGATTTTTGCTAATTCACTCAAAATGGGTCAGTACAGACTAAGATATAGCAAGAAGGCCCTTGGTAATAGTAGTGAACGTTATTTTCCTGTCCATTCCATCTTGTATGGCGAACTCATATAAGCAAACAAATAAACTTTATGGGGAATCTTGTGGGCGTTAAGTTGCTTATAATGACTTCGACAGTACTGCAACTTGAGTGTTCAGTTTGTCAGTTATCGTATGTGAGTTAGACAAAAAAGAATATACATATAAACTGTATAATAACCTTATAAAACCAGCATTTAAGGCAATATAACAGGCTTCTATAGTGGGAAGCACAGTGGAACCCTTGTAACCTTAAAAGGCATTAAATACTATGTACCTCAAAGGTGAGAATCAAATTAGGGTAATTATGTCAAGGAAAGGCCATACTCGCGCTAAATTAGTCCAAATTATATGTTTAGGAACGTAAAAGGTTCGGTTAGAATGGCACAGTTGTGATAACTTGTTGCTAGGCGACCAGGAAACAAAGACACCCTGCACCAAGCAGATATAAGGTGCCGAACGATGTTTGATGAACATGCGACGCCTGTGAGAAACCCGAATTGTATTGTGCATATAGCACTTCAACAAGTCTGCGAAGAACGCTAGAGCAAATCACGGTGGACCTAAAACCCCACGAGTACACAGTCACTATTGTCCTTTGCAATACCTATATTGAACCGTTTGAATGCCTGCGTCCTGGCTTTTTATTAAACCAGATATTCTAAATCCAATAAATATATGGTTGCCGCATGCACAGAAAAGGTTAGTCAATGTTGTTTTCAACGCATCCCAACAAATCTGCGAAAATACCAGAGCGCAAAGCCAGTGACATATCCGCTTTATCCAATAGAATTAACGACTGTACTTGGCTCCGTTTGACCTTTGTTATAAAACCTTCCCAAGGCTGTATAAAATTCTGACATTTTCTTAATGTTACTTGTACCATATGTTGTGATAGTTCGCAGTTAGATCTCCGTTTTTATTTATTCATAACTCTAAGAAAATGTCGTTGATTTTGTGATGGTATTACACAAATTGAGAAGTCTAAATGACTTTTGTTGTCATCGTAAGCATCAAATTTAATTACAAGATTGTGTACAATACACAATGAGTTCCTGAATGAATGAATACCTATATTGTGCATACAATCCCTCTGGGTTAAGTACAGGTCAGATGCATAGCAAAGCAATACTTTGCCCATACATGTATACATACACACGTAATCTAGTATATACACATCCAATACTTTTGTGCTTGTTTGTGCCTTTATTTATACTCGATATATATCCACATATAGATCCCCCCATTCGGCCATCTTGGCCGCTTTTCGTGGGGTTCGAGTACAAGTTAAGAGAAGTGTCTAGAAGTATACTAGTACTATATACTATTTACTATTTGTAGTATATTCTATGTATAGTAAATTCTACTTCCAGAGACTTTCCAGAACCGTGTGGAGCCTTTGTCACATACTAGTAGCCTCTACCAGGCTTCTTGACTCAGGGAGCGGCTAACAGTTCTCTAGCTCCAGCAGACCCTTGGCATGTTATCTCTCTATTTGGCCGATTTCTACTCGTTCCAGCCGCCTCCCGAAGCCTGGTAGAGGTTTTTTGTCACCTCCGTGCGCAGCCCACAGCTGACTAACCCGCGGGTATTGTGACGTCACGCAGGTAAGCCTGGCAGTGTCGCCCGGCGGCGTGAATCATGAACGGGCGGTTCTCACCTCGCCTGCTGCCGGTCACCTTTCACAGAGATTTTAACCCTGAAATCCCGTCAGAGTCAATGTAGCCGTGCTGCTAACATGGAGGGGAGCGACTTTCGGAAATTTTACGGGATTCTTACGTCCTTGCTGTTGGTGTGTGGAGGAATTTCACCGGTTTTTTGTACCACAGGTAAGTGAAAAAAAGCTGATTAAATATTTAAGGCGCGCTGCGGACCATCCATAACGTATTCCTTTGCCTGCTTTTCTCTTCACAACTGACAAAGGATTCTAGAAAGGCCTCGGCTTTCACAAAATTAAGGTTTGAGCGCGAAGCCGCTTTAGGTATTCCAAATAGGTTGACATTAGATAGTCCAAGTAGGTCGACTTGTAATATATGTTCTAACCCAGTTTCTTTGAAAACTTCTTTAAATGAGCTAGATTTTTTCAACAGAAAAATTATAAGGGCTAGCTGTAATAGGTAGATTTGGTTACCCTTCTGTAACACTTTAGACCATGTCAACTATTGAAATAGCGAATTCGAAGGCACCACTTAAAATTAGAAAAAACATATGTTTTTAGATGTTTGTCCTCATTTTGCCTCTACATGACATGGGTATATATCATGTAGAGGCAATCCTGTCTTGTGACTTGAAAATTGTCACAGTATAGGCAGGTGGCCAGTGTAGACAGGATTCTTCATACTTGTGTCAATGGGGAATGTAATCTATAAAAGGGACCACCGAACAGTGACTACAATGGCCAGGTGTCGGCCTTGGTTAGAGGTGGTTATTAACTAGGTTGAACCGTAAATATAATATATAATACGTATATCAGCAAGTGTGTTACACGGAAGGGCGGTTATACCGGCTATTCAGACACAGGCACAGCACCTGGTGTGACATACGCGGTTATACCGTCTACACACGCGAAGACAGGGGTTTGTTTTGTCCTCCCGCCTCTACAAAATGTTCCACTTTCAGTGGACACAGTCCTTGGGTGACTCAATTAGAGAGAAATTTGTTCCACTACGTTGTATGTAAATGAGCTGGAATTTTGGAACTGTGTCCAGTCATCACTGACAACAAGTAGTGGACAGATGCTCCTTGAAACGTATGAATAGTCTTTAAGATTTATCCAGTTTTCTTGAGTAACTGTCTTCTTGTACATCTCATTATCTGCATGTATAACCTTCATTGACGTGTGTCCGTAATATTCGGGGTCTTTCTTAAACTAGGTTGGATAAATACGCTACCGATCTTCTCTTCAGTTGCTTCTATTTTTCTTGTTGCTGTATCTTTAGCATAATGATATCGTTATGGATCTAATACCTACATATTCGTTACTTCTTTGGTGTTCATTTCATTGTAGCATCAGCGGCATTAGCATTACATGTGTACGATAAAACAGTCGACACCATTATGAGTGATACCAATATAGGCTAGAATGAAAATGCTTTAACACCTGTTTTTCAGTTATCAAAACAAACTTCTTCCTCCTAAACGTCGTGCACAGCCGAGGTTATAGGAAGTGTAATTTGCATAAGCCCCTATTATTTACCGCTGTACCTGTCTCTGTACGTGAAAGAGGCCATTGTCACACGGATGACAGAGTACAAGCCCCGTGACTGACACGGAAACAAAACGGTAATCTTACTGACGCACATCGTGGCAGGATGTACAATTGTATTGATGTGAAGAGATCTCGGCCTATGCAATCATAAAGCTTCTATTCAGGGAACTGAAGTTTTAGATTTAGATTCTTACTAAGTAGAGTTTTATCCTGAATCGAACTTTAACGCTTTTAAATACTAGTAATAGTAATAATCTTATCGCTTTGTTCGTTTTAAGGGTCAAGACGTCACCTATTGACTGCTTTCTTTATGTTTGTAGTTTATAAAAGTAGATATTTGCAAGAAAAAAACAACAACAGGGTATGCCATTGTTATGCGTAAATGTTTCTGTTGTGTGTATCTTTACGCATACTTTAAGGTGTGCTTAAATATAGAATTTCGTGCATTTGAAGGTGAAGGTGAGTCCTGAGGTAACCAGGTGGTTCCAAAGTCAAAACAAAAATGGCGTGTGACCTTAACCACAAGGTCAAACCACTTTTCGTCCTCCATTTTGTTAAACCAATGTTGAAACGTGAATAACTTCTCTAGGGAGTTCTATCTTACGTATCAATGTTAGATGTGTGATTTCGTTAGCAATTCATAGATATCTTAGAAAACGTAGAGGCTATCACAGGGAATGTTATCGAATTACAGACCAGTTTCTTTATTATGTATCACTAGCAAAGTATTCGAAAGATGTGTCTTCAACTCTCTTTATCCATTATTATCTGACGCCCTATACCCCCTTCAACATGGTTTTTTGAAAGGTAAATCCACCACTACTCAACTTCTGGAAGTTTATGACGAAATCGGTGAAGTACTGGACAGATCTGGGCAAGTCGACGTTATATATTTGGACTTTTGTAAAGCGTTCGACAGTGTTTCTCATAAACTGTTAGTGCATAAATTAAGATCTTTTGGGTTTTCCGGCCAACTTCTTGCACTATTTGGCGACTACCTGTCTGGACGATTCCAGAGAACTGTTGTAGAAGGTCACGTGTCCGAGTACTTAC